CGAATGGGACAAGGCTGCTTTGATGACATTCATCTCTCCAATGGTTAATTCAAAAATCAAGCAAATTAAGATCCGTGGTATATAAAAGCGTCTGCTTGCACAAAATATGGGTTAGTTGGTCGCATAAACTGTGTCCTGTTTGATTTTTTTTTTCTCTATCTATTAGTTATCAGAACCATCGAATGCACACTTAGTCATCAAGCCTATACTGGCGAGTAAAAGTCTGGTGAGCGGCTTTAGAAAATAGTAAATAACTACTGCTGAGCTCCTACTATTCCGACCCGACAAATTCATCGTATATTCGAAGAAACATGTACAGTTTGTGCCGTTTACAAGCACCAGATGGCAGTCGAGAGAGTTTTGCTACGCTACCTCCTTCAGCCGCTAGTTACTTCTCCGCTCTGCTGAAATCGTCTCGGATGAGGTATCATAGATAACTAGAAGCGTGTCCTCTTAAGTAGTCGAGGTTCAGATCCGGGATTTTTGCCTGGAGCTCTTTTTGGTGATGTACTTTTTTCACGACATGCTTCGGTTTCCATTTAGGATACATTAGACATTGCTAAACATGTGGAAAAAATATTTTGTAGTCAGGGACGGTGGGCATCAGTTAACTGGCGGTTCAATAAGTGTTTGGTGTTAACAAAAGCGTTTGTTCGATGATTTATAGATTAAGGCTGAGATTCTGATAACATAAATAAATAGGACGCTTTGAAATTAAATAGAACAAACACGTTAAGGATGATATCAGAAATTATGATTATAAATTACGATCGCTTATCTATAAGTACGTTTTACTTTTGAGAAATATTTAGTGTTAGATATCGTCGGTGTTGATATCGAAGTCATGGGAAGCTCAAAAGGGTGACGTTCCATTTCAACTGATATACGTAAAAATATTCACATTACGTCAACATAGGAGAACAGACAAAAGCTAAAGTTGTAAAAAATAAAAAAAAAAACTTAAGCATTACTTGTGAGTGTACGAGGAGAAAAACGACACGGGACTCAAACACTCGCTTCTGATTTACCCCTGGTCGTTGTTGTTGCTCGTGACTGACCTTCCGGAAGGGGTATACAGAGATGTAAATCGTTATAATAGGCTGTGGCACACAGAAGATAGTACTGGACGATCAACGTATCCAAAGCGTGACCAACGTGGTCGAGGGAAAAATCCTCTTTATCATAAACAGCTCGGCCTTTTGAGCCGTTGCTCCAGCTCATTCCGGAATATAAAGGTAGCAGGAATAGGTCGATTCGCTGCGGTGGTTTTCCATTTTTAGCGCTTCTAGCAAAAAGAAGATTTGCCCTGGACAGCAGAGTGAACACTAAAAGGTACGAAAGAACGGTCGACATAAAAACAAGAGTAAAGAATAAGTGCTGCTATTACGCTGAGAGTGACTTTCGATTCGAGACCGCAATTACTTATTTCTCGACAAAGTATTGAGCTTCCAAAATTGGCACTTTGATTTTAAATATGGGCGATCTTTTCGATATCTATTTGTGTATGCTTCTATGGCATGGCTCGCAATTCCTGGTTTTGGCGGCCAAATACTCAGATCGTGCCCATGTTTGCGTTTACGACAGTGTTTTTTGCGCGACGTCAGATTTCGGAACGAATGACACATACAAAAGGAGACGTGACAAAACGCGGATTAGAATTTAAAAACGGGACCAATGGTAGTGCATGTGTAAAAGCGATGTTTATTGCTATCACTATAATCGTCTCTTCGCTATATGGGCAGTTACGTTCCGGATCATCGTTGTCTCCTTTGTTTCCTGGGGCCTATTTATCTGAAAATTAGTCGATTTGCTGGTAGAAAGTAAACCAAGCACGTCCGCTGAGGCTGAAAACGGAAAATCGAGCGGCGTGTCTTAGACAAAAGGCAAAAAACCTTTAGCGGCCTGAAAGCTTTCTGTATTAATGCAGAAGAAAAACTTCCTTTCACGCCCAAGTGACAAACAGTTAATAAAAAGCTTAATATCTAATAAAAATAACTTAATGTTCAACTTACTTATCGATGAACGGAATAGGGTAAATAGGCTTTCGTCTGTTTCAATATTTGAAGTACTAAAAGGAAATTCATGTACATCTAGGAAACGGGACGAGTATCGTGGATTAAATGTAAAATTTATATTCTATCATACAACAGGGCTTAAAACTAACATGGTGGCCGATGCACTTATGGTCAAGTTAGGCACAGGCATCTTTTTTTCCATCACGCTGACCCTGTTCGTAGCGTCATTTTCGAATTACTAATTTAATTATTACTATATTTTTATAATGCTATGTTATGTCTATATTCGGACCAATCAATAGAGTTGGATGGGTGATTTGTTGCTTTCAAAATCTATAATTTTAGCTTTTGCATAACTATCAGCACTGTGAATGTGAAAAGCAAGCTTGAATTTTTATTACGAGTAAACCAAACGCATCTTCTCGAGGAGCTTATATTGCAAACTCTTAATTACCAGTCTATCTATATTGTTTTTTTTAACGCCGCAGCATAAAATTCAAGGATAAGGTAGAAAAATATTGTCAAGTGCGTAGGAGCTTTAAGGTGTAAATAGCTATATTTTTTTTAAGCTACTCACTCTGTTAATGCCATTTTAATCATCCACTACCCAAAATCAACCGGAGTACCACAATAAACATAGAAAGACGGATAGATGGTCCGTAAGCTTTAGTTGCCACTGCTCAATTAGCTCGACTGTAACTCACTTCGTAAAGGAGGGGAGAAATGCAAGCGCAACCTGATCGTGGTCGCGTCCTTTTTACCGTTGCCGTCATAATGGTGCCCGTTAATGCTTTTTCTTTTTCATTTATTATAATTATTATAGTATAGCTTACATCTTCGCGCTTTTCCTAACCCCGTAGCCAGACGGTCAGTCGAGTATTCGTGCGGTCAATGGCTACATATGTGTGTTCGTCTGCTTGAATACTCAACAAAGCTCTCCCTTTCATTTTCCTCCGCAGTGGAGTAAATAAGTGTGTACATTACAGACGGCATTCCGGTGGGAACTTTCCAGAACGGGATACGTAGGCTTTGGAGATATCTTGTGGTTATATTTATAGCAGACTAGCAGCAGATAATGCACCTGAAGCAGCGCCGGACGTGAAGCTCGAAATATTCATTCTGTCAGCAGTTTATCTTAACCTTAATCTCTATAGGCGGATGCGGGCCCTGAGCCCTGATGTTTCGAAATTAATCTAGTCTCATTTGTTTACTATTGCTGATGCGAACGTGTGGCTTTTTGTCATCAGAACGCTACGCCTTTTTGCGTTCCACAAAAAGCACAGAGAGCGTCGACGCCTATGGAGTCCAGCGCAAGGTGTCATCGTTATGAGGGACCAATTGTTAGATACTGAACAATGGGTACTCGCCGTAAAGGCCTGTTTTCCTTACTGCACGAGTGAGCATCGTTTATGTGACTGTGGATGTCTTTACCACGATAAGAAGCTCTGATAAAGATAGACGAAGTAAATCAGGCAAAAAGGGAAAGGGAAAGGACGGATAACCGAGTGGCGGCGGTAGTGGCGGTCGCGGAGGCGGTAACGATGATGTGGTCAGTAGTAAGAGTGGTAGTCACTACACTTGCAATGTCGTATCACATCTCCCTGATTGCCCCGCCGGCCATACCTTGCTTTCCACTTCTGGGATATTCCACAGCTGGCGACGTTCGCTGTATATATATATATATATATATATGGCTTGCTAAATACATTAGTAACTCAATGTTTCAACGGTTATACGTTGATTAAATGGCTACAAGGCAAAGTTGTACTTATCAGAATGGCACGTTTTGCAAGTCGCGCAATTCATCTAGAAGAAACAGGAAGAAATAGCAGCGCATCTATGCCTGGAATGCACACAGTGGGTAAAAGCGGCTTGATCACATCGAAAATATGATCACGACAGTTATTCTATAATGTCTGTACTGGACAACCAAGACGGCCTCTCAATAGCTTTAGCTGTGACCTGTATACTGTTGCAGCGTGGTACATGTCACAACCGGTCCTCCCACAGTACGAGGTCTCGAATAAAAATAATCGCAAAAAGGAAGATGGTCATATCGAGCTAACTCAAGGCAGTGCAGCAAAGTCATTTGTAATTTTATGCAAACAGAGCGAAGAGCGGCCTCATTATGATCTCTAAACAGATGTGCAACATACACGACGCTTGCTTTTGTTCTATCGAGCGGCTTTTTCAAGAGGTGAGATATTTAGACGAAGGTCAAGGAGTGATCCAGCCTTAACGTAGCAACGCGTGGTCAGGCTTTGCCACCGCTGTCAGTTCTGTCTTCGGATTGTCTGTTCGCTTGTCGAAAAGTCTTCCTGTTAAGGGTGGTAGAACAGCGATGATGGCGATGGTCGCCGAATGAGCCGATCGATGTCTGTTTTTGCCATGCTTCCGTAGCCGTTTTAGGGCTGAGGCTGTCGCCGCTTGCTTTCGACGTTCGGCGATCATCGACGATGGTGTCCGGCACGATTTCCCTGTGAGGATGATATGTTCGTTGTTGCAGCAGGTAGGTTCAATCCAGCACCGAACCCTTAGCCTGTCGTTGGCGGTCTTTGTCGCCGCGTTCCACTCGAGGTCGCGATGTTTCGTCATCAAATGTCGCTTTCTCGTTCGCAACGCCGCCTCGTCCGTCGCCTTTGACTGCCGCGGCAGCGGCGGTGCGTGCTTGTCGCCGTGATGCTGGTGGCAGTGGCCGCCAGCGACACTAGCACGTCGCTCTGCCGTTGCCACCGTCGTTTCAAGACGCCCCTCTCCGACGCCGGTCGACATTACCACTACCGTCAGGATCATGGTTCCAAGCGGCTTTGCTTGGGTTACCAGCGGTTAGCTGCGGCCACAGCTACACGGTATCCTTTTCCACTCACTCGCTCTCTCTGACCGTCCTCGTCTCCGCGAGCTGACCACGAGTAGACATAGCCATGGCGTAGTAAAGGCACACAAATAAATTATTCATTGTCAGCGTGTCCATGGCCAAGCGGAGACGGACGGCGCAGAGTCGACGACTCGGTCAGCTCGAGTTAATACAGATCCATATTGCGACCCGCTTTGGTGATTATCATAAGTACGATTGCGACAGGAACTGTTCGAGAAGTTGTGGCAGTAGGAGTGTAGCAATAATAGTAGAAGTCGCAAACGACAGGAGCGAGACTGAAGTGAATTAACGGAGAACCGATCAGATAACGAGCAGCGACACCGACGGCAAACGACCGAATGAACGCATTACTGAACGACGGCGGCGGCTGCAGCAGCGGCAGCGACTGAAGCAGCAGAAGGATAGCTGGTGACGGCGGCGACGATGATGATGACGACGACAACAACAGCAGCAGCAGCAGCAGCAGCAGCAGAGGGAGTTGCTGCTGCTGCAAAACGCCGTAAGGGGCGTGAGACGGCTGTCGACGGTTGTTAGTTGCTGACCCATTGAATAGCACTTAGCGTAGCTGCCGCTATTAGACTGCCACTTCAATGATCAACCATAGCAGATAGATAGATCGCTTTTTATTGTGAAGATGGCGCGCATGGGCCGTAGGGACGATTGTGTTGTTTGTCTTAAAGTTGGTTTAGCGAAATATTAGTATTAGCAGTGATATTGTTCACACGAAGCGAACTTTATCCGGGAGACGCAGCGAACGCTGCTGGCGTTGTTGCCGCTTTCTTTTGGCCAGAGATTGTGAGTGGTCAGAGGTTGACCAACGGTAGAATCACCGAAGCTGGAAAAATGGTTTAAATCACACTTTCAAAAGAGTGGTCCGGGTTCGATTAACAAGCTGTTACCATGGGTCTGTCATGAAAATACGGCAGACGGTACGTTGAATCTGTAGAAGTTATCTAGCCGCTCAATAGCAGAGAGTCATCTTATTTGAGAAAGAGGAAGCAATGCAATAGGTAGCTACTGGCCTTCTTCTGACGTATATTCCGCGTTAACAGGTGTAAGGCTTCAGTAAGCTTACAGTGGATATGTAAGCGTATCCATAGGGTCGTATATATTCGTGTCGGCGCTTGAAACCGGACTGTTCAGCTGGCCTTTGGGTCTTCTTTGTTGTTGCCAAGCTATAGCTCCATAACTGGTACGTTGCTAAGGTCGTAGAGCAACAGGCGCCTGCGTTCTCAGTGAAGATCAGTGTTCACTCAAACGATGCTTGTATTTGGGCAACAATACTATCAAATGTTGTGGTCCGCTAAATCTGTGCTTTGATGAGTCAAACTCTAGCTCCGACTCATCAGCTTAAACATCTGTGTGCACCTATGATGTATCTGTCACTTGCTAAAAACTGAAATTGTGAAACGGGAGTATAAGGACGTCAAAGCGTACGAATTTTGGATAGTGTGTGATGCCGACTAGTGGAACTTTACCGGTGGTGATCCAGTGCCCCGTATCATATTGGCATAGTTTGCTGTTCTACCGCGAAAGCGCGCGACAAGCCCGTTTAATTAGCGAGAACCGTTCGGTTGGTATTGTGATGAGCAACATACTATCAGGCTCCGATCGCGCTTCCTGCCATCGCGGACAAATCGCGAGAAGTTTTTTTTGCTTCGAACTCACCTAGTAGCGGCAGCAGTAGTTATCGCGGTTCTTTAGACTTTCACTTAGGTCACGTACGTTTCGCATGTGATAGGACCTCCAGTTAGAACCTCATCACTTATGACACGTTTAAGCTGCGTGTTATTTGACAAATTTTGTACACTGTGCAGGCCGCCGCTTTCGGCCCGTATCCTGAAGACGACATATGGAGAGCAAAGAGGCCCTGAGTTGCTGGAATTCATATCGACTGGAATATTGTTAAGATGTCTGATGCTCGCAAAACATTTGCGTGCACGCAATTCCTTAAAGCTGCGCACAAGCACAACAGCAAGACGACCTCTAACTAATGGATACCGCTATGAATGGTCGATCCGTCGGTCCTTCGAGTCGTGTTTCAAGTAGTGTTCATTCTTGTGCTTCATGACACGGATGTACGCGTGCGTGTTTATGGATGAATTACTGCTTGCGTCTGCATCCGCAATCTCTGCATTGCCCGCGGAACGTCGCAGCTTCCCGTATGTGGAAGCTGTTATGGATACAACCGATGGATATGGGCCTTTCGTTAGCCAAAATCAAAACCCGGTAGATGTTTTGATTCCGCTTCATATGGCGGCCCAAGGACCTGTGCCTCAAGATAGTTTGTAAGTGAGGAAAATTATATCTATTCGTGCCATATCTTCTAGGTGCGCAAAATGCATTGAGGCTCGAGTTAAGTCGAAATTAACTAATTTTCTTTTCATTACTAATTCTTGAAGGGATTCATTGTTAGTTTCCATCTTTCGCATAGTCGTTAGACCCGTGACAGAAAATCGCACAAAAAGGAGCAGGTATCATAATTATAACTGCTCCCTTTTGCTGCATAACCATTATTGTTAGGTCAGATTGTACCAGTAAGTGTGGGTGTTTTCTGCTCCGGCAACGGGAGGTATCTCTCAATGTGTTTCTATTCTAGTCACTTCATTTACAAACAGGACATAAAGGATCTAAACCGGATATGAAGCGGGATCTTTGAGTGAAACTACGTTGAGTTGTCTGCAGTATTTTGAAAGGAAGTGTGATAAAAATCGGATCAAGACGTCATACCGAATTTAATTGCTATCTGCTTATCTATCTGAAACCGTGAAGCAGCAAAGCATCATGGCTTGTCTATCTTGATGTGATGTTCCCTTTAGCAGCCAGCGAGAGGAAACTATAGATATACATTTACTTGAACCTTTGTCAGCGAACATAGGTGGCCCAGCGAATGGGTAAGAAGGAACAGACGACGATGAGTCTAGCTAGTTTACCTGGCTCGATGGCGAGTCAGCTTAACGTTTACATTGCTGGCGTTGTGTCGGTTCTAGCATCAGCCTACTATGGGTAGTTTATCGTCACCTTACTATGACTGGAAAAAAGTGATAGTACGACCATCAACATGGACACCGCGCCGATATCGGCACAATCCAGCTGGTACTGCCTGACGGTGGAGGAGCCGCCGTTTGTCGCTCCGCTGAATCAGTTCGCTTTTCGTTGGTCCTTTCTTTTTTTCATTTTCGACAATTTGCCAATGTTTTGACGATAGCTTATCTAAAGGGTCTTGCTCGACAACATTGCCGTCAGGTAGTGTAATCAGATGATTGAAGGTTGCGGCATACGGCTCTGTAGAGTTGATTTGGTAGCCAACCTTCATATAAATGTTGTTCACGGTGGCCATTCTACTCGAGGCACTATTAGGAACAATTTAAGCAAAGTCAACGCGCGCAAGAGCAGATAAAAAAAAACATACAATGGTAACTTTAAGGGCGTTAATGCTAATGGTTAATGGTAATCCTAAAGGCGTTTATATGTGAAATAAAATTGTTTGGCCTAAACTAACACACAGCAAAATATATGCGCCTGAGATATTCTTGAAGGAGCCCTGCCGACTGAGACTTGCCGTAAAAATGAAGGATGCGTCTGCTTCGACGATTCTCTCCTTTGTCACTGTCAATGCAGGTAAGGATGGCCGCGCAGTGCACTTTTAACTGTCTAATTGCAAGGCCTTTTACTTCTTCGACGAACTATAACGATGACTCGGAAACTAGTGACGACAATGAGTCGTCGTTTAGAGTGTTCGGTCGGTCAGACGACTGATAAAAAGTCGGACGAGTTGGCGACGCCATCAGCCGACCAGAAGACAAGAGGACAGGCGCGGGCGACACTCGCTGTACAAAACGCATGTAAACTAGTTTCTATTTTCTGTAGTGTTCCAAGACCGACCACATCGGTGTGATTCGATTTGACTGAATAATAACAACAGAATTTTGTTCGTTCCGTGTGCTAAATTTATAGGATGCACGTGTGTTATGCTTACTTAATGAAAAAGTTTCTAAATTAGCTTAATAACTGAGCAAGTTTCCTTAAGTTGATCATTATGTAGTGCATTACGAGGGATGCAGATGAGTAACGGACGTATATAGCTCTACAAAAGCCTGCGAGAGTGTTTCTATTGAGTGGAGCCGGTTGCCATAGATTTCAAGCTATGGATCTGTAATCATGTAGTGGTAACGAATTTACATACTAAATGCGGTGATCTAAATTCAAAATCAGTCGTAGAGTTATATTGTTGCCTGTTTGACGCCAGCCACTTAAAGTAGCATTGCTCGAAAAAGAGAAAGCTCAAAACACTAGCTAGGAAAAGACTCCACGATGCGATATTATTCCTGGCTGACCCCTATTTTAAATCTGTGTAAATCAGCTTACATTGATATTGAATTGGCATGCCCTCTTCACAGATCATCAACCTACCCTTTATCAGGTTCTGGCTATTCCAAACCTTTTTACATCTAAGAAGCACGTTTTTCACGTAATTCATTTTTCTTTAGATTGACACTTTCATCGGAAAATGTCATCGTTTTCTATCCAAACTTCTGCCAACGTCTTAGTTTTTACAAAAACACGCGAACTCTCATTGGCTATTTATCGACACGAAGTAGTGTTGACGCGCATATATTTACAAGTATACAAGTCGACATCTTACGATTGCACTGTAGAAGATGGCAGCCGCTCTGAAGTTCGGTTGCTCGAAAGGTTTTAGCCTCACCTTAACAGCACTTCGGTCAAGTCAGTTTCCAAAGAAGTTACAACCGGAACACTTTGCCATCATCCCTGGCAGCCTTAGTCTGCGTCTTCGTATTGTAGGCAGTTAGGACTCATGCTTGTTTCACAGGCACGAGTTTTTACTTACACAATATGTCGCATAAGTATTGCTAAAGCCTTTCACACATAGAACACCGCTCTCTTTCGCAGAGGGCATGGAATCAGTCTGCTTTGATATAAATATCAAAGGTCTTCGTGTGTTCATTTAGACATAGGCGCATGATCCGCAAGTGAAATCTAGAGAGAAAAGGCTGAAATAACTATTGTCTGTTGCGTGTTGTTCTAAGTAGTACTCGTACAGGCCTATACTACTGCCTATATATAGACCTAATTAAAGCACTGACCACCAAAATATATAGAGGCATCTATGTTGGTATTGGGATACCCACGATGTGGCGTCATGACATATACTGCCATTACCTTCGACTGAACCTTGCCACCCGTGGCCCTCCTGTGTGTCGTGAACTCCTTAGACCACCGACTAAGCATTACTTGGGCTATCTACTCGTTGATCAAGTTCATATAGTATGTTCGTTATCTACTGTTTCTGTGACAACTGACACGTCTGTTCCGCCGGGAAACGTGGCAGCCACATCGAATTTGAGATCTTCCAGATCTCCCCGCATGGCCGTAAACAAATATACTACGAACATATGTTTACATACGCACTAACAAGGAATGTTAGCCGCATGTAGTTCGTGCCTTTGCCTACATGCGGCTGAAACAAATATCACTGGACAACCCAATAGACTTCAGCTGATAGAGACTTTCTGCTTGTAATACTCACTCATACTGCTGGAGCTGCAAACTGCAAAATGTTTCCAAGGGTTCCTGACGTCATTTCCTCTCTTTTATCTCGACTCTCTTTTCCGTAGCCATGAAGTATCACTGTTTCGTTCGTCTTGTTCAATTTCCTCAACAGCTTAGATAAATGTAAAGCTATATACCCGCTTGCCTACTTAGATACTTACCGTTACGTACTAACCGTTCTCAGGACGTTCAAAGACCTACTGATGCTGCTGCGAACTGTCAACATTAAGGTCGCACGACTCTAGAAGAATAAACGCAGTAAATAACAATGCCAAGACAGATAGAAGAATATTCTTAGGGAAACACGGCACCCCATGTCAGGGACTGTGTAGTTGCAGTTTCAATATAGACTGTGATTCGAAAGATTTGCGCTACGACTGGCTAGCAGGACGTGTATGGAATCAAACTTGTGGATCAGACTTCGTCTTTCCCGTTGACAGTAAATGGAGCGGTCAATCTGCCATAGAACCCAGTATTCCGAAACTCAGTAGTTCAAAACGAGTGTGCACAGGCACCAAATCAAAACGAGACCCTATAATCTCCAAGCGTCTAAATCGTAAGCGGTGATCTCGTATTAGGCCATGCCTATTCGTTGCTTTCCGTAGATGGCACTCCTCTTTCAGCAGCCGCTATAGAAAGTTGGTTTTTGTTCCTGTTGCTAAAATGCAGTGAAATAATACAGATATATAATAAGCTTTAGGCGATTGTATGATAATTACACCATCAGCAGAAACCGAGCAAAAATCACTGTCTATGTGAGTAAGCGTTATTGAAAAACCCTGGCAGATCCTCGAACGACAGCGTCAACCGCCTAACGGCATCTTAGCATACAATGAATTTGCTATTTCGATGTAAAAAAAATAAATGAACAGACATGCCATTTTGAAATTGTTCGCTAAAAATGTATATAAATAAACTTTGTTATCTTTAATATTTCTAGACGGTCCTACTTATCCGTATGTCACTGCCGCGTTAAGCCTATGCTAGCTAGAAAATTTTGTAATATCGGTTGTTTTGTCAGTCTTACCTAAGCATTCGTTTATATATAATTAAATTAATTATCATTTAAGACTACAATCGTGACCGGCTCATTTCTATACAATTACGCGATCCACCTTAAGGGAACTTCTATTGAACTTCTATTTTAGTTGCTATCGATAAATTTTCGTTTGTTCCTTCGACTACCGAGGAGAAAGGTGTTACGCGTCGTTGAAAAGTATCTCCCTTGTTATGCTTCGTTATCAGGTGTTGTTTGACTAGAAAATTTCACCTGAGTTCGGGCTTCAAAAGTGGGTTTGTCGAGGAGCAAAGGCAGCATTGGTGACATTTGTCGCTCGTCTTTGACGGAGAAGCTGCGAAATGATTCTGGATAGATATGAGGCGCACGATAAGAACACAGAAACAACTTGCTCTGTTGTTGCAGCGCATTCTACTCGACTCTTGATCGCCTTGAGTCACTTTTGACGGAAGATAATTGCTAGATGAGCTTATATCACTTTCACACATAAGTCTTCACCATACGTTTTCTAGCAAGGCCGACATGCCCGTTTCGGCAGCTGAATTCAGGTTGAAATGCTGTGATTTGAACAAACAATAATAACGCTTCCCTTCATCCTAGAGCAAGAAAAACACTTGACTAAATTTATAAAATATATTTAAATAGCTGTTGGTGAATAAATTTGTTGATATGTTCATTATTTGGACCAAAGCACGC